GTGAGAATCCTGCTTCTAACACCTTCACCCATTTCTTTATTTGCTCACGTGGGTGATACCCCTCAGAGAGTTTGAAAATTGCTTTGCACATCTCTCCCTCCAGCAAACGTAGCAGAGAGAGCTCAGGCTGGGTTTGCTGTTTTCCCCACACCCTGCCTGAGGCTGAGGTGATGCAGCCACGTGATGGAGCCCTGAGTTACCTGGATACATCCTTCTGTTCCTCTTCACTGAGCTTGGGGAATTCATTTAGACCTCAGCTGTATCCATTTTGTTTCAGTTAGGGGGTTTTCTTTTCCTCCTTCTTTTTATTTATTTATTTATTTGTTTATTTTATTTATTTATTTATTTATTTATTTGACAGATCACAAGTAGGCAGAGAGGCAGACAGAGAGAGAGGAGGAAGCAGGCTCCCTGCTGAGCAGAGAGCCCGATGTGGGACTCGATCCCAGGACCCTGAGATCATGACCTGAGCCGAAGGCAGAGGCTTTAACCCACTGAGCCACCCAGGCGCCCTCCTCCTTCTTTTTAAATCATGCAGAATATTAACATGCTCCCCAGATTCAAAACTCTCCAGGAGCATATAACCGGAGAAATGTTAACTCCCTCCTAGATTCCTGCCACCTGGTCCCACCAGCACCCGTGTTGGGCAGCCACCTGCACTGTGTTCTGATTTGTCCTTCTGTGTTTGTGTTTGTCAAGACAACAGATGTACATATGCTTTCTTAATTCCCCTTGTTTTCTCACACAGAATATAGTGTGTGTGTGTGGGGGGGTGTCTATAAGCTCTTTCACACTGTTTCCCCCCAGTATCTTCTCTAAATCACTCCCTGTCAGCTCATAGAGCTCTTCCTCTTTCTTTGTCATAGCTGTGTAATACTTCTTGGTGGCTCAGTTTCCTAGCTTATTCTCGTAACCTCTTCTGTTTGGACCTTTAAGTACTTTCCAAGTTACTACTACTACCTCTTCTTCTTCTTTTTTAAGATTTTATTTATTTATTTATTTGTCAGAGAGAGAGAGAGTGAGAGAGAAAGCGCATGCACAAGCAGGTGGAGTGGCAGGCAGAGGCAGAGAGAGAAGCAGGTTCCCCTCAGAGCAAGGAGCCCGATGCGGGACTCAATCCCAGGACCCTGGGATCATGGCCTGAGCCGAAGGCAGAAGCTTAACTGATTGAGCCACCCAGGCGTCCCCAAATTACTTCTTCTTATACTTCTTGGTTCTTTTGATGACTTCCTGGGATGCTGGGTAGAATCAGAGGCCTCTCTGATTTGGGGATTTGGGGTTTGTGGTGGCTTTCCACTTGAGGTGCCCTTCTCTCTGTCAGAGAACCTGCTTCCTACCCCGGTCCGGTTTACCATGGTCAGGCCTTCATTTTTCATATCTACTCAGGACCTCGACCACCCTCTGTTTGTCTTCCTGTGGCACTAACTAGCTTTGTCACTCTGGCAAGGCTGCAAGTCTGGCAGCTGGAACACAGACTGTTTCCTCATCCCTTACTGTTCTGAAGGAAGGTCGTCTGGTACAGTGGGAAGAGATCAAACAGGCCTTGATTTGTATCCTAGCTCCATCCCTTTCCTATTGTGTGAAGCTGGGTCAGTTATGTAACTTCTCCGAGCTTCCTTTAATGCCCTGTTTGGGGCTGGGAAATACTGTGAGGGATATACGAGAAGACTTGGACTTGGATTGCTGTGTGAGTTTAACAAAGCAGCTAAGTCTAGACTCTATAGTTACCAGTGTCCACACACACACACACACACACACACACACACACACACACACACGGCATATTTAGTTTCTGACACCTGCCATAACAAAATGCCACAAATGGGGTGGCTTATACAACAGAGATTTATTTTCTCACGATTCTGGAGGCCAGGGGTACAAGATCAGGGTGCCATCAAGGTTGGATTCTGATAAGGGCTCTCTTCCTGGCTTGTGGATCCTTCTCGCTGCATCTTCACACGGTCTTTCCTCTGTGGACGTGTGGAGGGAGAGATCTTCGGTGTCTCTTTTCTTATAAGGATATCAATCTTATCAGATTAGGGACCCATCCTTGTGACCTCATTTAACCTTAATGATCTCCCTGAAGGCCCTGTTTCCAAAAGAGTCACATAGGGGGTTAGGGAATCAACATAGGAATTTTGGTGGGAGAAGGGGGGGAACAGTTCAGCCCATAACTGAGGGAAAAAAGATTTGGGAAGAAAAAAGACCAACATATTCATACAGGTGATATCTGAAGAATGCAATGATTGATGGTTGTTTTCTTATTCTTGTATGTATATAGATGTGTGTATTCTTGTCTCCTCTAACTTTCTGCAGGGAGCATGTGTTGCTTTGTGACTGGAGAGGGGACTTTAAACAGGTTTCTATAACAGCACCACCCATCTCCCTGGTGTAGCCTTTTCCTGGCAGGTGTTCCTTGGGGCTCCGTTGCTGTGGCAGTGACTTACTTTCCTCATCATGAGGTTCCTGGGATCCCTGAACTCAGGTCGGACTCTGCACGAGGTCCAGCACAGGGGCATTTGAGAAGACCTTGATCTCTCCCCAGTGCCTTGTGCTGCAGCTGGGGAAAATGACAGACAGAGATGCCATCCAGGCATGGCTGGCCGCCTGGGCATGGCCTTGCAGGGCAGTCCTGTCCTATAAATAAGGCACCTGAGCCTGGAGAGGGGAAACAGCCCTCCTAAGAACACAGAGCACTGCCCCACTTCCCCAAGCAGTTTGAGGTTCTCTTGTGTTTGAGGAAAATTTGTACATGTAATGTAAGGGCCACCAGAATGAGTATGGTAAGTTCAGAGCTGTGTCCATTTAAACTTGAGGGGTGCTGGCTAGCTTCTCCCCTGTCCCCACATAGGTCCTGGCTATGGTCACTTTCTGTTCCTCCTTGGGATAAACTAGCCCTTATCATCACCCCTTCTCGGTTTCATGCTTTGTCATTTGCCTCATCAAGTAGCTCTAGTGAACACCTCCCTCTCTCCTCCTCCCCCCAACTCCCCGTATGTTGAGAATTGAGGGTGGCTCGGGCCCCATTCGTGTGCTCACTTATTCAAATGCCTCATGGTTTATGAATACAGCCCTGTGAGGAAAGAAAGAACACTGGGGAGGAGCCAGTCTCTAGACTCTGGTTCTGGCTGTGTCCCAAGCTCCCTTGGAAGCCTGGGACAAGTCTCTCTTCTCTCTGGACTTGAGTTTACCTACCTGAAAATGACAGACTTGGGTCCAGCCCTCGAGGGTCTTCCAGCTGTGACTTACTATGACTCAGACAAGAAGCAACATTCTCGTGACATGCCTATGTCCCTCATCAACTGCTTTCTTTGGCCTGTCCTCCTGACACCACAGCTGACCCACCCTACCTGCTTTGTGGGAGGCAGTGCAGTATGTAGGTCAGAAGTGTGGACCCTGGAGACCTCCAGTTCAGACCCCTGCTTACTAGCTGTATTGCTTGGGTGAGTTTCTTAGCATCTCTGAGTTGGTTTCCTTATTTATAAGATGGGCATATTAATAATTACCTCCTGGGGTGGTTGCAAAGATGAGCTGAGATCATGTATGAATGTAGCTGGCTTGGAATAAACATGGTCAGATGGCATCTGGCACTCTCACTGTTGTTCTTCATTGATGGAAAGGAGAAGACTTAAGTAGCTCTCAGGATTTCTGTGAAGCCACAGATGCTGGCAAAGTCTTAGGGTGCCAGAACTTGCTGCCACTGGTCTCTTTCTTGTATACTAAGAAGATGACTGGAGAGGAGCAGGAGACATTTTAAAAATCCCAGTTATCTCTAATTCTCTTGAGTGCACACACATCACCAGGCATTGGTAACACTGGACAACTTGCAGTTCCCAGACAAGCTCCTCATGGTACTAAGTAGAATTAGGTTTGGCTGTTTGGGACAGCAACACTCGGCCCACCCCTCAACACAAGGTTAACAAGAGAAAAATGTATTTCTATCCCGTGTGAAAGAAGTCCAAGGGTGGACATCCCAGAGCTGCTATGGTGTTCCAGTGTGTCAGGAACCTGGGCTCCTCCTACCTTGTGCATTTATCGTTCAGTCACATGACTTCATCCTCATGGTCCAAGATGACTGTTTTAGCTCCAGCCATCATGTCCACCTTCAGCCAGCAGGAAGGAGAAATGAACAAGGAAGGACACTTCCTGGAAATCACACTTGCTTACACACCCTTGGCCAGAATTTTATCATGGCCAGGCTTAGCTGTAAGAGAGGCTGGGAAATTTTTATTTCAGATAATCTTTATTTTAGATGGCCATGTGTTGAGGTAAACAGAAATGTTTGTTTCCAAGGAAGAAAGAATGAATGCATATTGGGTGACACCTACCAGTCTCTGCCACATATTCTCACACCTGGGAATTTGCATACATTGTTTCTTTTGTCTGGGACATCGTCCCTCTCCTCACACCTCACACCCATGGCTTGGCCCGCTATTGTTTGTCCCTGAACGCTCACTCACCTCATGGCCATACTCATGCTGGCATTCTATGACTCCCTGGGAACTCTTTAGCACCCAGTACAGCCACACGATCCCCAGCCAAGGTGGGCCCAGCACCAGTAGTTCTTGCCTCAAAGATACACTGAGGAAGTGGGATTATATTCTTCAGGCTTCCATGCCTTTGGGAGAGGTATGAGGGGACAGGTAGCTCAGAAGCTCGTGGCAAGTTGCTGCCCTCTGGGTTGTATCTAGTCATTCTTGAGATAATACAGTGACTCTGATTACATCTCCACGTCATGATGGTGAGTGGTTGAGGTGGGGAGCAATGACTGTGATGCTTGCTTTCATTTTCAGGCAGTTCTTGATTTGGTTTCTGCCATTTGTTTCTCTCAGTTTCTGCCTGGGCAACATGTGCTTTTTAAGGTGAATGTCTGACAGCTGATATCCTGGATCACTGAACCAAAGTGCCTAGGGTGGCACTTGCCACCTGTCAGTCATCACTCACCACAGGACATTTACATGTGAACATCCAGGTGACCATTTGTCTCTTTTTTCCTGCAGCTGGTCACCACTGAAGGGCGCTTCCTCAAAGACAGTCTGTACAATGAGGGAATCCTAATTGTGTGGGACCCGTCTGTTTACCATTCAGATATCCCAAAGGTAAGTGGGTGTCCTCGAGAAATAGGGAATGAGTCTTCTGTTTGTCCATAGACGGTCCTGAGTTTTCCTGGGTTTTGAAAGTCATGGCTGACGTGGGCCCCCACCCCGAGGACTGTCTCTTTCCACATGAGGGGAACGCACTTCATCTGGACTCGCAGCACGGAAGTATTCCTGTCTGATACCAGTGCTCTCTGTGCTCCGCCCCGCAGGGCCATGTTTTTCTCTCCTTTGATGGGTGGCTCAGGAGTAACAGTGACAGGATTTCTCACCGTCTGGGGTGGGATTGTGTCCATCTAATAGTTATTTCTGAAGCAAATCAGCAGGAAATAGACAGTAGTTACTCATTCCTAGGACAGAAGCATCATGCTTGACCTACTTCTGGTTTCCAGAATTCTTCCCATTTCACTCATAACAACACAGGGAAGTAGATAGAGGCATGGCTGCTTCCCTTTTACAGGTGAGGAGACTAGAATGTGGAGAGGGGAAGTCGCCTGTCCCCGAACTTGGTTTACTAAGCGGAGGGCTCTCTTTTGGGAAGAGGATGGGAGTCTCAGGCCTGTTGGCTCCCCAGCCTCTCTGGAATGGCGCCCTTGCTGTTTGTCATGCGTGTGATATGGCTGCACTGTCGCAGGAAAATGGCGTTATGGTGGAAGGACAGAGCGCGCTGTCCTGGGGACACAGGATTCTGAAGTCAGACCCACCAGGACCTGACAGGCTCTGGTGATCACTGGCACCCTCGCCACCTCAGCCTCCACAGTTTTGCTTGGATCTCACTTAGAGCTGAAGTGTGTCTGAGGCAGGACAGGGGCTCCCAACCCACAGTTGTGGCAAGCTGTGCCCCAGTTTTTGGCCCTTTGAAAATGAGAGGTGGGGAGTGCCTGGGTGGCTCAGTGGGTTAAAGCCTCTGCCTTTGGCTCAGGCCATGATCCCAGGGTCCTGGGATAGAGCCCCGCATCGGGCTCTCTGCTAGGCAGGGAGCCTGCTTCCCTTCCTCTCTCTCTGCCTGCCTCTCTGCCTACTTGTGATCTCTGTCTGTCAAATAAATAAACAAAATCTTTAAAAAAAAATGAGAGGTGGGATCAGATGGTGCCAAGGACCCCTCTGAGCATTCCCAGAGTCTGTGATCCCAATATCTGAAGCTGTTCTAGGGTCACCAAGCTCAAAATTTCCTGGGAGCATAGGCTGTGTGCTGGGTCCCCTCTGCTAGTAAGTGAGAGCTGTGACGTGGAGAAGTCTGGAATCCACTCCGAGGAAGGGGCTCCAAGGCACCTCCCTCTCCTTAAGGAGACCATTTTCTTCTCTTTCAGTGGTACCAGAGCCCTGACTACAGCTTCTTCGAGAACTATAAGAGCTACCGCAAGTTGCATCCTGACCAGCCTTTTTACATCCTCAAGCCCCAGATGCCTTGGGAACTGTGGGACATCATTCAAGAAATCTCCCCAGAGGAGATTCAGCCCAACCCCCCATCCTCTGGGATGCTTGGTGAGTCTGTATCTGGGGAAAGACCTCTCATGTTTGTTTCTAGAAGAGATTAGAGAATGGGATCTCATTCATTCATTCATTCCTTTGTTCACCAAACAGTTGCCAGGTTTTTGCTATATTTCTACACTGGGCCAAGTTCTAGCTAAGATCCAGAGATCAGTAAGAATCCTTCTCCTTTAGGGTGTTTGGTGTGGGAGTTCAGCCAGGAGAGAGCACCCCTCCTGGGGTGCTGTCAGAGAGCTCAGTGGAGGAGTGGCATTGGGCCAGGCCTGGGTGAGGGGTAGATTTGCCTTGGGGAGGGGGCAAGAAAATGGGAAGAGTAGGGCTGGGATTTGGAAGATGAGGCAAGAGAGGCACTTGCCTCAGGTATACCATTTGAGGGGACACCAGAAAATTCAGTAACAAGCTAAATAATATTAAAATAATATCTTTTAAAAACCGTAATTACTGCAAGATTTTATCCTGAATGAAATACCAAAATTTTAAATAAAGATAGGATCAGTGATAATGTTACACTGAGCCATATTGGCATCTGAAGACAAAGCAATAGTCAATAATACTTTATTCAAAATTTCAAAAATCTGTCAAACCCAGTGAGTACCCTAGTCCTGGCCCTGAGAGAAGAATGAGAGGCAGAGTTTTCCTGGGTTTGAGGGTCATGAACGGAGCTGAGGGAGCTGGTGTAGGTGGGCTGGGATCTGAGTCCAGAGGGTCCTAAATGCTGGCTTCAGGCTTTCTTCTCGGACACAAGGAAGGGAGGCTCCCTTCTCTGGGCCCCCCGCAGGGTAGACCCCCCCCCCCAACCACTGCATGATGAGCCTGCCCTCTTCCTGGGATGCAAACTCCCTCAGGATGGGGATGGAGTTTAAAACATTCTTCCTCCTTTTTAAATTTTACATTTTTGTTCAAATTTTTATTGCAACTCTAGTTTGTTAATATATGACTTAATATTGGCATCAGAAGTAGAGTTTAGTGATTCAACACTTACATACAACACCCAGTGCTCATCACAAGTGCCCTCCTTAATGCCCATCCCCCATCTAGCCCATCCCCCACACACCTCCCCTCCTGCAACCTTGGTTCCCTTTTGTTAAGAGTCTCTTAGTTTGATGCCTTCTTCTGGGTGCGGCACAGGCTAGCCCTGTGGTAATGGCCTCTGAATTCGTGAACAACTGAGTGTTTACTGTCAGAAGCACTCCTTAGAGAAAGGGATGGGGACCATCTCAGTAGAGTGTCTTTGTACAATTCTCTTCAACTTTTGTATGTGTGCATTTGGGGCTCTTCCAGGAGCCCTTTGAAGCAGGAATAGTGGGAAAAGCATCCCAGGGAACACTTTCCCATCACCCCACTGTCCCCTCCCTTTGCCTGTCCCTGGTGGCCATGGCCCCTGCTGGGCCCCATCCAGTGTCGCCAGGATATTTACATGAGACCTCCCCCACAGGAAGTGTTCCCTCCTGAAATTTCCAGAAGCCACTTCTGTTATGCCTTCACAGTTTAGTTGCAGAAGTGTCTTTTCTCCCCCAGTGGACCAGGGGCAGCCAGAGAGGGCTCTTCCCCTATCCGATTCCTCTAGAACAAAGTGGCTGCTAGCAGTTTACAGTTTTGCTCTTAGTGAGGACTATTTCATCATAAACTTCCCCTATATTTATGGTGGTCAAAAGGGGTGTGAGAGCCATGATCTTATTGTATCCTAGCAACAGCCTGTGTGGTAAGAGGCAGATGGAGAAACTGAGGCCCAGAGAGGGACGTGTCCTGCATGAGGTGATTGAGCCAGGTGGGGACAGCTGTGTGTGTCGCAGGAGTCTCCTGCCTCTTGTTGGGGTCATATCTCCAGCAGAGTGTTCTGTGCCTCCTCCCTGAGAGCGCCAACCTGGCCTCACTCCCTGCACTCCGCCTCCCGCCAGAATGAGCAGAGCCCATCAACACAGACCAGGCAGGCTCCTGTTCTGACCACCATCCTCCCAGCTGGGGAAAGACAGCCTCCCTGCCCACACTGTTTCTCCTGAGCACTGTAAGAATCACCTCTCCCAGTCAGGGCCATCTGCGAGGCTCCTACAGGATATAAAAGTGTTAGAAAGTTCTGTGTACATGGATGGTACTGTCCCTCCAGTCATCTTATCCTCTCTCTTCATCTAGCTTATTCACATTGATTAGCTCAGTGACTGATGGATGGAACACGTCCGTCCCCTGGTGTTTAGGGAGAAGCTACCATGCACCAGCCCCTGACCTGCCGGGGGTTCAGAGGGGCATAGGGCTCAGCAGCCCTGCATCCTGAGGAACAGCCTGCTGGACCGGCTTACTGGCTGAGCTCAGACTGGGAATCACAGTAATACGTAGAAACTCCAAATAGACCTCTCCCCAGATTTGGGTTCCTGAGTTGCTGGACTCATGGGGCAGAGCTCCAGGGTGTGGAGTTGTGTTGTTGGGCCGAATTTACCTCTACTCTCCTCTTCAGGAATCATCATCATGATGACATTGTGTGACCAGGTGGATATTTACGAGTTCCTCCCATCCAAGCGAAGGACCGACGTGTGCTACTACTACCAGAAGTTCTTTGACAGTGCCTGCACGATGGGCGCCTACCACCCACTCCTCTTTGAGAAGAATCTGGTGAAACACCTCAATCAGGGCACAGACGAGGACATTTACCTTCTGGGAAAAGCTACACTGCCTGGCTTCCGGAAAATTCGATGCTGAGCCTGGGCTCCCCGGTCAGGTCCCTTCGCCCTTCTCCACCACATCTGGGCAGGTCACGTTCCTGAACAATCACAGCCTGCATGATGGGCCTTCTGTCACCAAGAGCCTCAGGCTGCAGGAGTTCCAACAGCAGGCAGCTAGGTCCAGCCTGCCTGGTAGATGCAGATGTGTGCGAGCCCAAAGCCTCCCGCCGCACACCTAGCATTCTCTCCACGCTGCCTTTCCCTCCAGGGCTGCCAAAGCTGAGCTGTTTCCGCCCCCCCTCCGCCCAGAGTGACGTTATCCTCACAAACCAGCACTCTCTGTTGCTCAACATCTGCTCCTAGACACTGATTTCATGTGTTAAAGAAATTCTCCCAAATTATGATTGTGTGTGGGTACAGGGTAGCTCTGGGGAGCCAGGGAGTGGTCTGAGGCATAGGAAACATGCTCAATTCTTCCAGAACAAAGCTGCTCTTGAGGTCCGTGCCCTTGGGAGATGAGGCATTCCTATCACTCTAGCTGGCTTGGTGGGTCCTTAGCCTGGGTGCTCATGTGCAAAGGGTCGTGATGAACCCACATCCTCTCCGTATGGAGAAGAGAGGCACAGAAGGGCACGGTCTCCATCCTCCGTTTGCTCACAGTTCAGTGGGAGGGAGACGGAGGGTTCAGTGTGCTCAGTGCACCGGGGAGGGGGCTGGTGGTGGCAGCAATGCCGATTTGCCGGGTTATGAGCTTACATGCTCGGGGGGAACGCGTTCGCTATGTCTGTGGGTCGTAGGGGGCTTCGCTGAGCTGGGCTGTGGAGATTTCAGGGGACTGGAGGAACATGTCAGCAGATGTTTGAGTCATTTGAGTTGTGTTTTCCTTTTTGCCTTTATTGCCCATATTTATTCTCTAAGGTCTGCCTGACCTTCGAGGCTCAAGTTATTTTCTGAGGAAGCTGCTTCCCCTGTCGCAGTGCAGCCCCATGGGAGACACCTGGCAAGCCGGATGCCAAAAACCCAATTTGTCCGCGCTTGGCCTGGCCTGACCCTTCACTGCAGCTGGGGTCACACACCGTGTCCACTGCTTCCCTGTTAATGCTCGCGCCACCCCCCACCCCTGGCTACCATCTTGTTTTCCCCTTTAAAGTAGACTTTTTCCCTCTCTCAAATTACTTTTAAGCATTTTGTACTTTAAAAGTATCCTGATCTGATGATTTTTTTCGCCTTCATGGGCCTTTCACAGAATGTCTCTCAGGGAGTAGGGATGTGGTTCCCTAGAATTTAAACTTGCTCTCAGAAATGAGCACCTTAGAGACCGTAACGGATCCTCACAAGGTTTATCAGACAGCCATGCCCTCCACCCCTCCAGCAAGGGGGCGATATCACAGTCTCCAGACAGAGGCCCTCCCACCGTGGTGTGCCAGCATGCTTCCTGGGTAGTTTTACTGCAACCCCCTTCTCCAGTGGAGAACCACACTGGACTGCTCTGGCCTCTGGGGAGGAGAAGGTAAAGGACTTGCTCAGGGTCACAAAATAATGCTGTAGAACCAGGGTTCAGGGCCTCTTAAGCTTGAGCTCTGGACCAGTCGTCTGGGAGCTGGAGTGCTCATGTGCTGCCAGACCCTTGGCTTATGGGGCAGTAGCAGGAGCCCTGGAGGGAGAAGCTCTGGGTTTTCCAACTGATACTCCCCTATATACTAACCATGCTTCTATGAGCGAATTTTCCTGAGACTCTGTTTCCACATCTGTAAAATAGGGGTGGTGAGCCTACCTCACAAGGCTGTTGTGTTACATGAAACACCTGTCCCAGTTCTGTACTTGGCACATAGCAGGTGCTCAGTACCTGGTGGCTTCCTCCCTCCCTCCTTCCCTCCATTCCTCCCTTTACTAAGGACCTGCTCCAAACTCACACCTGGGCCTGACCTTGCTTTGAGGTAGGTCAGGGAGGGGGTCCTGTCATCAGGAAATTAACTATCCTACTGGGAGACAACAACTACCCTGCCTAGCACCCAGGAAACCATCCACACGGTGGAGGGTGTAGGTATATAGAAGTGTCCCTCCTCCCCCTTCTCCTCCTCACCCCACCTTCCCCCTCCTTGCAGCTCTGGCCTTTCTGCTTGGGAATGGGCCGAGCACTTGGGCTGCCTCCTGCTGTGTGGAGGGAGTCTTCCAGCTCTCTGAGCCCATGAATTCCCAGCTTGCTTTAGGTTCCGATTTGATGCATACATTGCAATCGTTGAATCATACACAGTGTGAGGAAGGAGCATTCCACCAGCAAGAGAGAGGCATGGGTGTGAGACTACACTGGGTAGATGCTAGCTTTTCATTGTTATTATTAATATAAGGGATCAGATTAATGTCAATGTGATTTGGGGTCTATAGAACTTTTAATTCTGTGTTCTCTCTATATGGAAATTAGTAAAATGCAAATCAGAGGTATTGTTGTTCTGGTGAGAGGTTTCTTATCTGTGACAGATAATTTAAAAATGGTAACTGAGTGCCGCCGGAAAGTCCCTGTCCTGAGGGGATTGTGTCTTTGTCAGTAGCCATCTCTTCATCCTATATCATGAGGTCCCCCAATCCTTCAGTCACATAAGCTATTCACCTTGGTTTGGAGACCTTGATCTCAGAAGTATCTGAAACATCCTCATCAAATTCTGAATTACCCAAAGATGATGTAAAATTTTAAAATAAAGGTGTTTTTAAAAAGCTTCTCCCTCTCTTCTTACTTGCTAAGGGAATGACGGCTCCTTCTCAACTTTTATCTCCAAGGAGGCACAACAGGAATCCCAAAGCCACGGATCCTCCCCCACTAGCTTCTCTTCCGTACTTCAGGAAGAAGAATGGTCACTTATGTGGCAGAGAGCATCTCTGAGATAGCGACCGATCAACGATTCTTCCTTTTGGTCTTGCTTAGATTCATATGACTAAGTTGTTTGTCCAATACCTCAGGGAAGGGGTGCTGTAGGGCAGAAAGAATGGACAGAAGGTCTTTACCTTAGTTTCCAAAAGCCTAAAAGCCTTAAGGGAATGATGTCCTAAGGGAACAGCCAAAATGTGTGGATAAAAAATCCCAAAAAGCAGGAACAGGAGAGAAGGGAGAATTCCTCTTCTCTGTGAACTGTGTACCTCCCATTATGGCTTGAACATGTCCCCCGAAACCACACTACGCTACACTGTAGTCTATTTCAGTGTGTGCTAGCACTGTGTCTACAAAACTATGTACATACCTTAGTCAAAAAATATTTTATTGCTCCATGCAATCCGTGCCCTCTCTAATACCCACCACTGGGTGTGGTACAAAAAACAATGAATACTGTTATGCTGAAAATAAATTTAAAAAATGATTTAAAAAATTAAAAAAAATATTTTATTGCTAAAAATGCTACCCATCATCTGAGCTTTCAGTGAGTCAGAAGTGGAGGGTCTTGCCTGGATGTTTCTGGCTGCTGACTGATCAGGGTGGTGGTTGCTGAAGGCTGGGGTGGCTTCAGCGATTTCTTAAGCCAACAGATGTGGGGCACTTGGGTGGCTCAGTTGGTTAAGTGTCTGACTCTTGATTTCGGCTCCCGTCATGATCTCAGTGTCCTGGGATCGAGACCCGCATTGGGCTCTGCACTCATGCTCAGCACAGAGTCTGCTTTAGATTTCCCTGTCCTCACTTGCACACTCTCTCAAAAAAGAAAGAGAAAAAAAAAGACCATGATGAAGTTTGTCACATTGATTGACTCTTCCTTTCACCAACAATTTCTCTGTAGCATGCAGTCTTGTTTGATACATTTTGCCCACAGTAGAACTTCCTTCCAATTTGGAGTCAATCCTTTCAAAACCTGCCACTGTTTTATCAACTAAGTTGACGTAATATTCTAAAGGTTTTGTTGCCGTTTCAACAATTTTCATTGCATCTCCACTAGGAGTAGATTCCATCTCAAGCAACCACTTTCCTTGCTCCTCCACGAAAAGCAACTCCTCATCCATTCAGGTTTTATCACGAAATTGCAGCAATTCAAATATAACCATGAAAATCTTTGAAATACGGTGAGAATTACTAAAATGTGACACAGAGACAGGAAATGAGCAAATGCTGTTGGAAAAAGTGCCAGTAGACTTGACGCAGGCTGGCCACAAACCTTCAATTCTTAAAAAACGCATATCCACAAAGTGCAGTAACGCGAAGGACAACCAAACAGGGAATGCCCGTATTTCCTTCTGACACCGGCCCCCAGTGCTCAAGTGGGGTCAGCCCCCTGGAACTCAGCTGGAAGGCCCTGCCAACGAAGCCTGGGTTTTTTTCTGGATCCCAGTGGAAAGGGCACTCGGAATAGAAGTGACAGAAAAATAGATTCCAGTCAGTATGGGAACTGAGATTTGCACTGGCCACATTTATAGTGGCCCTAAATCTCTGTGAGGTTCTCTCGGCTGGTGAGGTAGATGGGCTGCGCCCCTCTCTCTGTGGCTGGAGGGAAACTTCCGCAGCCTCCTCATGCTGCCATTCCCCTTCTTCTGACTCTAGGTAATCTGCTCCTTTTTTCATCTATGTTGGGCTCGAGGGAGAAAGAATGGGGTCTGGCTCCTCCTTACCTTACCAGCCACTTGTGAGAGCCAAGCCACAGAGGGAAAGGCCATCGAGTGAGAGATTCGTCTGTCACCCCCACATCTCCCTCACCAGTAGCTCTCCTCACTGACTAAAGCCCAGCTCTTAGGCCCTTTCTTCTTATAGAAGACTTGGCACCCTGACAGCATGCTGAACCCACACCCACACCAGTATCAGTCTTATAGGCAGGAGTGGGTGGGGAGAGGGGTGCACTTGGACTCCCCAACTGCCACCCCATCTATTCCTAGCTCCTGGCCTCTGGTGTGGCCTTGGTTTCCTCTTCCCTTGTGACCTCCAGGGCAGCCATCCAGGATGTGAGGTGATGTGACAGGGGCTGTGTTATTGCCCCAGGGTCACTTTCCACTATTCCAGCCCTGAACACTCATCTCTGTGGGCTGGGATGATGACATCAGTTACAGGAAAGAGGAAAAGGCCTTACCAGTGCCCACAGAATCCCACCATCTGATGCACTTAGGCCACCAGCCAGTCCTTTTTCAGGATTGATCGGACAACAAGTTTCTAATGGGAGGAGAGCTTCTCTTCTGTCCATTGAGTCCACAGGGAGCACCTCCAGTGAGTGGTACTGGGAGACAGTGACACAGAACCACAGAGCCTGGGGGAACGGGCCTGCCCCACCTGTGTTATCCCCAGAAGAGAGAGCAGTGAGGCCATTTTCTGGAGCACTAAACCTAGGTGGTATGCTTATGTTGTTAGGGGTGCATTTATAACAGCACAGGAGAAAGATACCACGTAAACGCCAAAGAAAAAGAGATGGGATTGTACAAGAAAAGGAACAATCATGAAGTTATAGAAAAAAAGAGATTGATTTTGACAGGGATTTGGGTAGTCTTACTGGGTGACAGTCTTGAGGGATGGGCAGGACTGCCCCTTTTATCTTTAAAGGTTTTTTTCTGATTATAATAATAGTACATATTCACTGTCCAAAGCATAAAAGGGAAAAAGTCATCTGCATCCGATCACCCCAAAATAATCCCTGCTAGCAGTTCCCCATTCTATTTTAAAATACCATAAAAACATACACATACACACACACACAAAATATTACACAGACACATAAGATCATGTCCTGCTTTTTCTAAACTTAAAAATCCATCATAAAAGTGTCTCCAGAACAGTAAGGATCTCTTTGTAATTATGCTCTGTAATGGGTGCATGATAGTCTATCATAAAAATGTGTTGTGATTTATACAATTTTCCTTAGACTTGGACATGTGGTTTCTTTACACTTGTTTCCCCCCAAGTAACTGCACATGTAAGCATACGTCATCATCTCTGACTACATTCTGAAGTGGATGATAGGTGGGATAGGGAGTCTTCTCTCAGGGAATTGTCACTGGAAGACTCTCAGAATCATCTTAGAGGAACTTCTGGAACAGTCTAAGAAAGTCAGAAAAGATAGCCTAGAGAATAACCAAAGGCAGCACTGTAAGATTGCTAAAAACATCATGACTTTTTCTGGTTTATTGTTTTGTTATTCCTTTTTGTTTCTCCACAGAAATTAGTAAAATCCTAAAAAATGAAGAGTGTGTTATTAGTTATATTGCTATCTAACAAATGGCTTGAAGGTTAGCAGCTTAAAACGACAGGAAACCTTTCTGCACACACTGCCTGTGTGAGGGCTGCAACCATCTGAGTGCTTAACTGGGGGCTGACTGGTCTCCCTCCAAGGCGGTTTTCTTACAGGGCTCTGATGTCAGGGGCGGTGCCACTGGCTGGGCTCTGCGATCGCTTCGGCCGTCTGCCTGAGAGGACGCTTCTGCTGGCTTTACTCTGTGTTCAGGAAGACTCTGGACAGGGCCTCAGACTGTGCTTTGTGATCAGTCAGGGCTGGAGACTAGGCCCTGTCATCTGGCAGGCTGCTGGCTGCACTCCACTGATCCGGTAAAGGGATGAACGTGTGGGGTGTGGGGAGCAAGAAGGATCTGGAAGCGGTGAATATATTTTGCATGTGGCAGGGGGAGGATCAATAAGGCAGACGGTCATAGCCAGGCTTCAAAATGACCCCCAACTGCCCTCGCCTCCTGGTATTCATGTCCTTATGAAATCCCTTCCCACATGGAATAGTGCCGATCTGTGTTACCCATAGGGTACTGAGGAAATGACAGTGTATTACTTCTGTGTTAGGTCACAAAGACATGGTAGCTCCCACTTGCCCTCATTTGGATCACTTGCTCTAGGACAAGCCAGATACCATGTCAGGAGGACATTCCAGCAGTTGGAAAAGTCCTGTGAAAGGAGGCCTCTTGTCAACAGCCAACAAGGACTTACCAACCAAGTGAAAGCAAGGTTGCTGGGAGGATTCTGTGGTCGGGAGGGGCCTCCAGCTACATCCTGCAGTGGGGTGGGGATAGATACTGTGCTCTGCGATCAGGCAGAGTTGCTGTCTGGGCTTCCCTTCATCAGGCTGGGCTGCCCGCTATCACTCTGTGATCAAGTCAAGTCACCATCTGGGCTTCCTGCCTGTGGAAGGCTGCAGGGCTGTGTTCAGCAATCAGGCAGGGCCAGATGCTGGAGTCTGCGGCTGGGTGGGGCTGTAGGCTGGGAGGCGTGGTTTGGCAGGACCACAGGCGGGGCTCTGAGCTTGCTCAGGGTCACTGTTCAGGCTCCCTGGTTATGTAGGGTCAGGGGCTATGCTCAACAGCTGGACAGGATGGCTGCCTTGGCTCCCTGCCCAATCAGGGTTGGAGGATGAGCTCCACAGTCATCCCAGTTCCTCGGCAAGGCTTCCTGGATAGGTGGAACTGGAGCCTATGCTCAGCACTTGAGTGGGACTGCACATCTGTTTCCCCACACCAGCAGAACAGAACAGGCTCTACAGTCAGCGTGGCCTTGACTAGGGACTCAAATCAGGCAGAACTGCCAACTGAGCTCCCTGGCCAAACAGGGCCACCAACTTGGTCTGAAGATATATGGGCAGAGCCACTGGCTGGGATCTTGGCTTGAGTGCTGCTGCAAGCACAAATGAGACCCATCAAGACCAGAGCACTGGCTGTGGTAGGCTCTGTCCCCTTCTTCCTCTCTCTCTGATACCTGGTAGTTGAGCCCTGCAGAGTCCCCCAGTGATCCCCTAGAGGTGAAATCCAAGTGGGCCCTCTGGG